TGTGTCGTGGCTTGATTAGACAATTGTCCTTCCCTACAGGTTCAAGCAATAAGGCATTCATCATTGGTATTGTTATTGGAGGTTTAATGCTTTTTTTGATCCTCCTTATTGCATTATTTGCCAGGATTAGGCCACGAAAAAGCCCAAAGAGGGTTCCCAAAGGTAAACAAGGTCTTCATTGATTTAATCCTTTGGTTTTCACATTTTCACTCAGCATAAAAAGCTATGGGCTTTCATCTTTATGGAAGGAGGATTCCCTGACTTAAAAAAAAAAAAAAAACAGAACGAGACATTGACTGTTGCTGTCTTTAATATATAGGAGACATTACTGGAATAAGCCAGTTGAAGGCCCCAGTTAATTACAATTATAAGGATTTGAAGTCTGCAACAAAAAATTTCAGCCTTGAAAATAAACTTGGAGAAGGAGGATTTGGTGCAGTATATAAGGTAACTACACAGTATTTTGATATGTATCATATACCAAAGCTTACATGGATGTTTCTTCTAATTGAGTTTTACATGGTGTTGTAAAAGATTAGCTTTTAATAGGACAAAGGTAGAATCTCAAATGTAAGGCCTTTGAAATTGAAATTTTAATTGTCATGAACAGGGCACTCTGAAGAATGGGAAAGTAGTTGCAGTCAAGAAATTAACTTTACGGCAATCCAAGAGGGTGGAGGAAGAATTTGAGAGTGAAGTAAAGCTTATAAGTAATGTTCATCATCGGAATCTTGTTCGACTTCTTGGATGTTGTAGTAGAGGCAACAAGAGAATTCTGGTCTATGAATACATGGAAAAGACCAGTCTCGACAGATTCTTATTTGGTATCTCATCATCCAATAAAGCTTATATGTGTGCGTGTGCTTATGCATTTTCTATTATATTTCTGAGTTCATCATGATGACAGATGGGATATTTTCAACCTAAAAATAAATCATTGACTCCTCTAACAAAAATTGATTCTTATTTCATAATTTTATTCAAGAATTCAATGTGTGTGTGTGTAAATTGCCTACTGAAACATTTTGTGAATTACTTTGATGTATCACCCTTTATTTTTTTTTCTTCTACCAGGAAAAAATAAAGGTTTTCTTAATTGGAAACAACGATATGATATAATTTTAGGAACAGCAAGAGGCTTGGCTTATCTTCATGAAGAATTTCATGTCTGTATCATTCATAGAGATATAAAGACTAACAACATTCTCATAGATGATGATTTACAACCTAAGATTGCTGATTTCGGCTTAGCGAGGCTCTTACCCGAGGACAAAACTCATCTCAATACAAGATTTGCTGGAACATTGTAAGTTGAAATAACTTTTTATGTGATTTTCTTAAATTCTTAATTTCATATATGAGCAAGTGGAACACTCATACTACAATAGATGGTTTTAAATTATTTTTTTGCCTCTATACAAGCAAGAATGCATCAAGAAAGAATTCTTGTTGTTGTGGGGACTTGATGCAATGCTGCAATATACTATCTGCTTGTCTCTTTCAGATTTTGCTGGTTTTCCATTTTTCTTTGTTAGTTCTGAACATTTGGGTTTTGTTAATTAGAGCCATTTATGATATATAATGTGACAAATATTACATTTTTTAGAGGATACACAGCACCAGAGTATGCGATTCATGGACAATTATCAGAGAAGGTTGATGTATATAGCTATGGTGTTGTAATCCTAGAAATCATTAGTGGTCGAAGAAATAATGAATTAAATGTCAACGGTGCTGCTGAAGGCGAATTCCTCCTTCAACAAGTAAGAAAGCTCCTATGACTATTTAAAAGGCATTTTTTTTTTCTATCAGAGAGAATTTATGAGTATGACTTTTTTACATGTCATCTTATTTCTTTTGAGAAAAACCATTCCGTTTTTTATTAGTGCATTTCATAACAGATGTTTAAAAGAAATTGGCCTCAATTTTCTTTTGTATTTTTTGGTAGAATTGCATTTGTCTTTTATACACTTCTTCATCATTTTTACTTTAATCTCACTTTGGTAGGCTTGGAAGTTATATAAGAGAGGCATACACATAGAGTTGGTGGATGATACCTTAGACCCTAATGATTATGATGTAGAAGAAGTGAAGAAAATCATAGAGATTGGTTTGCTTTGCACTCAAGGATCTGTAGAAATAAGGCCGAAAATGTCTGAAGTAGTTGCACTGCTCCAACAAAAGGGTTTATCAGAGGATATGAGACCCACTATGCCTATTTTGATTGAAATTAATTAGACCCACTATGCCTTCTCTACAGATATATAATTGTTATTTCTTTGACTTTCATATTGTCAGCAAGATGATTTTATTCACCGGGAACGTATAGTTGTGACTCAGTTCAAGCAAAAATTAGGGGAAAACCAAGATAGAAGAAGGAGAAATCTGAAAATGATTGTCCTTCATTCCGTTCTCAAACATGCGTGTATATAATATATCAATCTTAATTAAGTGCATATCTATTGATAATTACACATAATTCTGAGTAAATTACATTAAGCTCTCTTAAAAGTTGGTTGAACTTCATATGATATCCCTTTTATTTTAAAAGTGATATTATATATGAATCCAATTTTTTTTTCTGATTAATGAAGTTAATTTTCCTAAATAATGCGACTTTTTTTAAAAGTGAAATTAATTATTTATCTTTGTCGTCTGAGAGTGAAATAGCAATAATGTGACTGACAATGCAACTAAATTACCCGGCAAGTAGATAAAGATAAGCCCAACAAGTCTGACAACGTTACGTCAACATAGTTGCAATTATGAATGACATTTTCTATCAACAACAGCCTGAATTTTCCCGCGGTAAGGTACGATGATAACTCTAACATAAGTAAGGATGCTCGTATCTAGGGAAGCTTAATTATTGAAGAATTTAATTTAATCGCTTTCAATGAACTATGATAACTAAACGAAGTTCATGGTAGTAGAATAGCAGAAAACAATCAAACGCCAGTACATCAATTTTGGCAGAGTGCTAGCAAACTTTTGAACAAAGAATTTTGTAACCAAGATTGAAATATGTTATTATATTCTAAGACCCATTAATATATGGGTGGCATATCAAATACAACATACTGTATAGTACGTGAATGTTGAACACAGAATTACATGTCATTTTAGCATATTTTTTTTGGATTTTAATACATATTGGCCTAATAATACATACTTTGATTACTTAAATTGAAAAAATGTGCATTTTTTTGGGATTGTACATCATGGCTTTATCTTGATATTTTCTAGCAAATTTCACGCTATATTGGTTTAGGGATGTGTTGGCAAGCCATTCTGATCATCAGTGGAAGCTTTTGAAAGGCTGTAAGATCAAGGAATCAGATGCAAGGTGCTCATTATTTACACCAAAGGGAGAAGTGTACAAAACAATCCAAAGTCTTGACTTTTTTTGGTGTTAAATTTGCAACTTTCACTCGCTAACAACAAAACAAAGCGTTTTATATATTTAGGTGATAAAGTTATGATTTTAGAGGTTATAATGGCTGGTAGAGCTAATAATTAAGATGAGTCGAACTTATTTAGGTCGAATTTAAAATATTATATTATATAAAAAAAGTTCACATAGTGAAACTCGACTCTAATCCTTCAAGCTTAATTGAGTTAGCCTGTAAGCATAAATTGTTAAATATTATATTATATTATTTTTTATTTTTATCTAATTTTAATTCTTAATTAAAAAATTAATATATTCCATTTTTATATTTTTTATATTATTTCATTAATAATAGAAAAAGGTATGTGGGCTTGTTTTTGGCTCAAATTTCTTCGAGTTTATTCAAGCAACCCAAATAAGCCATGAGTAAAGAAACTCTTTTAAATTTTCAAGTTTAACCTTAAAATTTTTTGAGCTTATGTGAGTTAGCTTGTCAAACTTGACCTAATTTATTGCCTCTAATAGTTGGTTTCAACTATGACCATCATTATTCTGGACTTCTTTGGAGTATTTGGGAGCTCTTGGGTGTGATAGGACTTGGATTTTAATCGGATTGAGCTACGGATTGAAGATTGAAATAGATTTACCTTCATATTTCAGTTCTTCTCCATTCTCCTTTCATTCCTCTTGTTCAATGTTTATGTTGATATATTTATATTTTTTTCGTGAGTTATTTGAACACTTGTAGATGAATCTTTGATTTTAAGATTATTTTAAACCCTAGTATGGATTAAATACTCATTTTTCCTTTACATATATATTTTATAAATGATGTAATTATGTTGATTTTACTCTATGCTTAATGTTTTTGGTTGATTGGCATCAATAGATTGTTGGGTTCACTTGCTTAATGTTTGAAAGAGCTAGGTTAAGTATAGAACTTGAGTTAAATCGTGAAAGGACTTAAAATTTTTAAGTTGAATGGATGGTTTTATTAATAAGGTAGAGATGTACTCATTAACTTTACATAATATAATCACATAGGATTTGCAATGAAATTTAAATTTAATTAATTAAGAGATTAAGGGATTAATTAAACTAAACACCTACTTAGAGACCTGAGAGAGCGCTTATAGGTAATTTAGTATCCTTAACTAGTGTAATTCATCATTAGAGGAAAGTATAATTGGGGTTTTTTTGATTGAGTATTGTTGAAGTACAAAAGAGAAGAAATAATATCCTAGGCCTAATTACATTCAAAAAATCCTAAATCAATTTCTTTTATTATAAGTTTTTATAGTTTTTCATACATTTAATTTATATTTTAAACACCATTCATACTTTGAATTTTCTCAATTTAGTTAAATACCCCATGTCTTTTGCTTGACCAAATTTTAACACAAAGCTATGTAAAAACAATATTCTACTTACTTTTTGTTATTTGTTATGACCCGTTTACTAGTGCAGTGCAAATAGTGGGATATGATAACTTTTTTAAGACGTTGAAATATATGTTCAATATTAGGTAGAATCTCAAGGAACAGATAATTAATGAATATGTTGACTGACCAGATCAACCCTTTGCATCATAAAGTGTCGAAGCAAAAGCTAACATGAAGAATGATTTGTAGACTTAATGTAGACAAGATTTCCAATTCATGTACATATACATAACTCACGCTGTCATATTCAACTGACTTATTTTACACCATAGGCCAAGAGGCTATCATTTCACTGCAAACTTTGCTCCCGGTAAAATTGACGTTTCATTGTACTCAGATCTTGTGTAATGATGCAATAAAGGAGAAAACTTACTGATCAATTTTCTTTTTCATAATCACTATTGTATATTCTCCAGGGTCGAACTTCAAGAGACCCTTAACGATACGATCAAATGTAACGCAATCACCTTCCTGATAGAATGGAAACGGAGACAGTAGCATTTGATGAAGACGAACTATGAGACACAGAGGTTTCTCTCTTGGGCCAAGAACTAGGATCAACATAGACAGGCATAGTGGGTTGTGTGTGCTCCATTAAGCTCTTTCTCTTGAGCATTCTAACAATTTCAGACATTTTTGGCCTTGCTGCGGGTGATGCTTGTGTGCAAAGCAATCCAATCTCTATGATCTTCTTAATCTCTTCTGCATCATACTCATTTGGGTCTAAGTTTTTGTCCACAAACTCTATGTGCATTCCTCTCTCGTACAGTTTCCAAGCCTGTGATCAAAGTGATATAATAGTGGGAAAAAAGGTAAAATCTTAGGCATGTTTATTAGATTATTGAAAATTGTCTAAACACACAAGAGCAACACTTGAAGTTTCTTCTATAAAAGAACTCATTTGTTATATTATTTGTTCTACAAATTTACTTACTCTTTGAAGGAGGTATCCGCCCTTGTCATCAACCTTTGATGCACTAACTTTTTGTCCACTTATGATTTCTAGGATTATGACACCATAACTATAAATATCTACCTTTTCTGATAATTGTCCATGCATTGCATATTCAGGTGCTACATATCCCCTGACAAAAACATATCATTGATGATGGCATGATGAGAAGGATATGATAGTGTCATAACAATATTCCATTTGATCAACACATTAATTTTTTTTTTTGACAAACTCATGTTTTTTGTGATAAATAGAAGTGATGAATAAAATAAGATAAAATTTATATGCATTTACTTACATTGTTCCAGCAAAATTTGTATTGAGATGAGATTGATCTCTTGTCAGAAGCCTCGCTAATCCAAAATTAGCAATTTTAGGTTGGAAATCATCATCCAAGAAGATGTTATTAGTTTTTATATCTCTATGTATGATGCAAACATGAAATTCTTCATGTAAATATGCCAAACCCCTTGCAGTGCCCAAAATTATCCCATAACGTTGCATCCAACTGAGAGCGTCTTTATTTTCACCTATGTGCACCACTTTAGAGAGTGAGAAAAAAGAAAAGAAGAATAGAGGAAATAAAGCTAATTCTCAAAACAATAAATTTTGTTTACCAAAAAGGAATTGTCCAACATCGTTGTTTTTCATGTGCTCATAAACAAGAAGTCTCTCTTGGCCTTTGTTGCAACATCCCAAAAGTCGAACAATATTTCGATGATGAACGTTACTTATCAACTTTACTTCACTCTTAAATTCTTTCTCCATCTGTCTGGATTGGCCTAAATCCAATTTCTTGATAGCAACTACTTTTCCATTTTTTAAAGTACCCTGCTCAAAAAATTAAAGACATCATACTTACTATTCAGCATGCTTATAGTTGTATTAAAAACAAAAAAAGAACTTGCTCATAGCGAGTTGAACATAAAAAAAGAACCCCCAAAAAAAAAAGTTAACGTTATGTTAATTATTAAATGAAGTATAATTTTTTTTTTACGGTGTAAAATCTACCTTTCCTTCTTTCACGAGATCGATTCTTTTAGAAGAAAAGATATTAAGAAACGTTACAACTATCGTACAATGTAATAATGAAAATGAATGTTTTGTGATGCTTACCTTGTATACATCACCAAAAGCTTCTTCTCCTAGTTTATTTTTTTCACTGAAGTTTTGTGTCGCTGACTTTAGATCTCTATACCTAAAGTTAACAGGACCTTTTAACTCAGTTGATCCCAAAATGTCACCTGTAAGGAATACCAAAGTAAACAACAACAACAAAACTCTTTAAATAATTAATAAAAATCAGCCAGATATTCATCCGTTTCATCAATAAATTCAAAAATTTTCTTTTGGACCGCGGCAAGGATCAAAGCACCACATCAAATCATTTCAACTTAAATAACAAAGACGTTTTTCAGTTATCCTACCTTTAGGAACCATCTTCGATGACTTTGATCGACTATACAAAGCAAACAACGCAAAGAGAATCAAAATAAAAGATACTCCTCCCACGAGACCACCAATAATGGCCCCCTTCTTGCTTGAATCTCCTACAAGACACAAGGAAAAGGTTTACCCAAGATTTTATAATCCAAAAATAGATACAATATGTAAGGTACTTTAAGTTTATTACTCTATACGTGCCTTGTTTCAAGATGTGATTGATATCAGTGGTTTGATTGTCAGCGAAGAAGGCAGTGGTGGAGTATCTCATGAAACAGCCAAAATCAAAAGCCTTAGCATTTGAGTTGGGGAGACAAATCTGAAAATTTCTTAAGGCAATGTTTAAGCAATTGTCGCAGCCACTTTGAGTGAGAGCCTCAACACATTGAGCAAAGGCATAAATGGTTGAACCGTTACTGTTAGGAACTGTCGTTTTAGTGGCTGCAAAGTAACCAGCAATTCTTGGTGTTGCTATTTCCAGATTCTTCAGCGTTTGTTGCACAGTTGAAGCAAGTTCTGTGGAATTTTTTGTTTCATTTCCACAATGAATGTTGTTGCCTGCGTCTGTGGACTGGTCAAAGAAGGTAGTGCTCTCGTACCTAAATAAAACACAAGAAAGGAAGAAGTCTCCAATATTTTAGATCATATAGATTCTGAAAAAAACAGTTGCAATATCCTGCTTGTAATTATTTATGATTTGATTATAACTAATTATCTAAAAAAAGGTAGGGTTATTGTAAATATTCTTTGAACCTGAGACAAGTTCTGACTCTAACGAGTTTTGAGAACACAATTCATCTAAATTTTTTTCACATAAAAAATAAAAAATAAAAGGCAGGGGTGTGTCATGTGTGTGTGTGTCACAGCAAGTGTGTGGCAACTAATGTCATGAACTTCTGAGCAATTCAAGTTTGAATATTATTTAATTCTGGCGTTACTATTTGGCATTTTCTCTGTTGATCATAAAACTCAAAGAATCAAAATTTGGTTAAAGGACATCAAGTTTCTAATCATGCCAATGACTAGGCATCACTTAAATATTCCTATGATTGCCATTGTCATTGTAGCCGAATCATGCATAATTTCAGAAGAGTTCATGCAAATGGCCTTGAAATGTCACAATTTAATTTGCAACTCCAAAGGGGGTCAAATTTGTCATTTCTCTTTTGGTATACTTTTTGGATACACTTTTTGAAGATATATATATATATATATATTGATATATTGCCTGAGATTTTGTGTGGATCTGGTCACGTTAGAAGGCGTGCTGGCCTGGACCTACCTTGCAATCATTCAATTCTCAAGGCGACCTTGTAATAATTCAATTCTCAATGAATTGGTGGGCCAAGGTTGTTTGTTTTGTTCTGTATTTTAATTTTTATTTCTCTTCCATTCTGACGTTTGTTTTGTACTACTATTTGATACTACTACCATGTTCCCTTGCATTACGAGGCAATCAATTTTGAAGGGAAAAAAAATATGAAATTCAAAATGTATATTGTATTGAGGAGACAAGCATTTCTAAGAGGAAAATAAGAAAATCAAGATGAATGTCAAATAATATTATTTTATTTTGACGTACATATTGATTAATTTAATATCTAAAAGGGCTATCAATTATTTTGTTCTGTAAATTTGTTTTATTAAGACTAGTATGTAATTTAAATTCTAAATTATAAATTCAAGGTGATTTAAACCCCATATTATTAATTAGCATATTTTAAATTTTGAACAATTAAAGTTAGGACATTCTCATTCTCACCTCTAATTTTTTAGAAGAATGACATAGAGGTTTCAAAAGGATCAGTTAATTTAAATTAGATTTCAAGTGCTAAATTTTAAAAATTTATAATTTAATATTTTAATTTTACAATTTTGTTATGATGAATCTATAACTTGTAATCTAATTTTAATAGAAAAAATAAAAAATAATTTTTCTTACTGGTTAATCATTTTAAAATTTAAAAACAAGTTGAAATTTATTATAATGTAGTTACAAAGTTAAAAAATAAACTTATAAATTATTAAAATTTAATACTTAACACTTAACTTAAATTAATTAATTTTTTAATATTTCTTTATCATTCTCCCAACTTAAAATTAACAAGTTACTTTTGGAGCCCATCATTCCTACTTTTCCAAGCTTGTGGTCCCCTCACGCCCTTGTGTCTCACTCTCTTCCTTCTGCCCTCTCCTCCTCCTCCTGTGTGTGTGTGTGTGTTTTGAGAATGGCTGTCGATCTCGTAATGAACGTGGCAGAAGCAGTGATTGGCGTCCAACAAGAAGCCTCTCTGTCTCTTGGCAATCTGAATCGTTTAATCACACATCCTGTTCCTTTCTCTGGTTTTCTTCCCTGACTTTTTTTTAAAAAACAAAAGACAAAAAAAATCTTTTAAGTTCCTGATTCCTCTGTTTCTTATATTTCCCGTTCTGTATAGATTTCCCTTTTCTCTGAGCTGTAGGGAAATCTGTTTCTATACAAATTGGTGAGTTTGTGTAAGGATATAGAGATGTTTTTGGATTCATGTTTTGTTGATTTGATCAATCTTTAGCCTCCCCCCCCTTTTTTTTCTCCTCTTGCAATGATAGACTGGATCACTGTTTTCCATTGACTCATGAACTTGTGCAAAGATACAGAGATCTTCTTATATACTATATATATGCATATATACTTGATGATATTTTTGGTGATGCGAAACCAAGCGTCTCTTGGGTTCTTGTTCTTGTTGGTTTTTTAGTTCACAATTCAAGTTCAACAGCCTAATTATGAGCTTGGCGTTCAAAGTGCTCCTGTATCTATAGTTGGAAATCCAAATTGTACATTAATCCTTCTTATTAATTATTTGTTATCAATACTTTTTATGTGTAATATAATGTTAAAGACAAGGCATGCTTTTCAAGGCTAGAATCTACAAAGAGTCAACAGTTTTTTTTTATATTTGTAATTTGTAATATTTTATATTTTAAAATTTAATGTCAGAACTAATAATGTAAATAATATCTTAATTATATTTTTTTTCATATTAATTTAATTTTTTATTCATATAAATATAAATTATTTATTGAAGAGAGTAAAGCCGCCTAAGGCCCGAACACGCAACTATTAAGTAAATAGTACATCTGGGAATTGATCAAATATTATATACCGATCAAATTCATACTATATAAGTAAATATTTAATTTTTAAATTAAAATAAATATAATACACTGATCAAATATATAGCAAACTAGAATAATGATATCTGCGAATTGATTAAAAAAACACAAAATATCCTATGCGTACAAACCTTGAATAAATGGTAACAAATCATTATAAGTTGTAATTTGTGATGTCTTATACCTACACTCAGTGATTTAAGAAGATTAGAAGAGTCAAAGTTGGCTGCGTACCTGAGGAAGCAACCGTCGTATATGAGGTGGGCGCCGTTGACGGCGGCGGAGCAGTTGTGTCGTAGCAAACCGGCGGCAGAGTCGAAGCAAGAGAGACAGTCGGCGATGGAGAGGTAGTTTCTGCACTGAAAAAGGCCGTAAGCAGGGTTGTTACCCTTCACTACCTGCGCCGTGGCGAAGTGTTTGCTTTGGTTGCTGATCTGCGTTCTAATGTTCTGATACGTTGCGTTTAGGTTGTCTTGGAAGATGGATACGTCACTGACATTGGTTTGGCTGCAACCTAGCCTCACAGCAATTGTCTGAGGGTCTGAAACGACGCCGTCAAGGGTCCACCATGACCAGATCGTGAAGCTCAACAAGATGAAGAAGAAGGGGGGTTTCTGTTGCAGGTTCAGAAGCATGATGTTTTCCTTACTTGCAGAGAAGACAGAGAGGGGGGGGGGGAGAGAGAGAGAGAGAGAGAGGAGTGATTGATGAAGGAGGGAATCTATCTAGTTGGAGATTAGTATGGCACAAATCGACAATATCTTGCGCAAGTGACGGTTGTCTTCTGGTTAAAGACAAACGAGTGATGATAAGATAGATGAAAATGTTTAAAAGTACTATCACTTAAACCAAGATATTAACATTTTGGGAACTGTTAAATTGTTAATTGATCGTCATAGCTCCATTTAAGTATTATACCGTCATGTTGTGAGGGTAAAAAGAATTATTATTACAAAAGAAAATCCTCCTCTTATCCTATCCTAGGGCCCCAGACATCTTTAAGATTTTATCTGAAAATCGAAGTCTAGTAATGATCTGTCGCATTCTTTTGGCCCAAAGAGATCTATTATATGATGACTTAATGAATACCACTCATTCAGACAATGGGCTTCCAAAAGTATGCCAATAAATAATTTTATCTCCATTTTTCTTCTCTTCATTTTCTTTTCATTTCTCACCTCAATCATTAAATTTATTTTAAAATAATTAAAATTTAATATTTTTAAAATTTCTTTAATTATTATTAAAACATTAAATTTATAACAAATAAGTATATAAATTTAAAATATAATTAATTTTATTTAAACTACAATTCAAGATTTAAGATTATAATTAAAAAATAAAAAATAATTTTATAAAATATTAAATATCAACTATTCAAAAAAAATCTGATAGTTGAGATGAAAAGTGAGGAAGAAGTGGAGAGAGTGAGAAATGAAGAGAAGCCAACTCCTTCCAATAATATACTTAACATATTAGCTTGGACATTCCTCAAGTAAATGTTAAATGTTGATGAGATGGAGGATGTAAAAGCAAGGTGAGAAAGTAAAGGTTCAATTTAATAAACTTAATGTCATGATCTAGAATTAAGAATTAAAAGGCAAAAATGTCCTGAAATTTTTTCTTTAATGGTGGATGGCATTTTAAATTTTTTTTGAAGTATTTTTGCCTCAAAAATTGAGCATTTTCATTCCACTGTTAAAAATTTCTAACATTAACCGTTAAACTCAAGGATATTTTTATCAAATTTGATCAAGGATATTTTTATATTTTGTTCCCTCCTTTCTTTTATGTTTAGTTTTTGATTTATTTTTTCAGTGAATTATTTAACTTTCTTTCTTCCAACTAATGAAAACAAAAACCAAAAAACACAAACACAAAATGGGATAAAATTATAAAATATATTAATCAAACTTCAAACTTTAATTAACAGTTAATGTTAGAAATTTTTTACAATAGGGCAAAAATGGTTTATTTTTGAAACTTCTGAAATAAAAATATTTTAAAAAAAGTTTAAAATGTCATGGTCTTTTGAGGAAAAAAAAAAAGATATTTTCACCATTTGATCCGATCTGATAATATTTATATAGCTAATCTATTTGCAGGCTTTTATGCCAAAATCAACATCAACATGTACTTGACATGAGAGCGACGCCACCACTTACACGAATGACTCGTTGGTTTGTCAAATGGCAACTCGATCGAATCTCAGATGACAATCGAAGGCTAAACATGTCTTCACCTCACTATCATCTTGAGATCCAATGGTAAAAGGACACGGTGACAATTTCACTTTATCCTCCAAAAATAAGATTATTAGATATATATTACTATGCTCAACGTAAATCATTTAAGTCAAATTATTTTTTTCCCCAACCATTTAAGTCAAATTAATTAATAACCTTTATTTTTTCATTATGAACATAATACTCCCTCCATCATAATTTATAAAACATTTAAATAAAATTATATATATTAATAAAGTTTATTAAATACATTTTATAAATTTATTTTTTAAAATAAAAATATAAATTTTTAAAAATAACATTTATTTAATACTCCATTTAAAAAAGAAATGATATAATAATAAAAAAAGTCATATTAGAAAAAACAACATTAATAAAGCATTATTTTTATTAAACTATAGTATATTTTGAAACATCCAATATCTCCTAAAAATTTCTTATAAATTGAGATAGAGGCAGTATCTCTTTTCATTAAAGTACATACATTTGCTTTTTTTTTTAATGAAAAAGATGTTCTTACCTTTTTTTAATATTTAACTTATTTTTTAAAGAATTTAAATTATTTTTATTGATGAAACACTCATACAATCTTACTTCTGTTTCAAAATAAATGTTGTTTAAAATTAGGCACAAATATTTAAAAAGTTCATTGAATATCTTAAGTTATTACAAAACCAAATGGTATTTTTCTAATATATCTTTGAATTAAAATAATAAAGCATTATACCAACTAAAGTTGGCACATGTAGTTAGAGCTCTTATCATTTAGACAAATAGTTGAGGATTCAAATTTTAACCCTTGTGTATGTAATAACTTATTTGAAAAATATATACTCTTTTCATTTCATATCTCAGAGGAGATAATCCCTGTTGTCAGTAGAGTCTACTCCTTAGATTATTAAAAATTAACATATTATATCATTTCTATGATAAAAAAAATATTATAGTATTTCAACTATATAAATAATGGGGCAAAGGGACAAAAAACCCTATTAAGTAGTCAGTTAAAAGTATCTAGTAGCTTAAAGTGAAAAAAAAAATAAAAATATCCATAATATTACTTAAATTGGTGTAAGAATGATTAAATCGTTAATTGTCGGTGTTAAACACTAAGTGCAATTGTCATGTGTCGATCTTGACTTCTTTGACTTATTGACCTGAACTAAAAAAGAGGCATAAATACTCACGAAATCATTGACTAGGAGTATCTAATAGCTCAAAGTGAGCAAAATAGCAGTAATACCCATAATATTACTTTAGTAGGTGTAACAATGATTAATTTATTAAATTCCTTAAACGTTGACCGTTTAACTAATATCTAAGTAATAGTTGACCATTTTTTCATTAATATGGACAAAAAATATTCTCAAGAGAAATTATAGGGAGGCTAATCGATCATCGTATGATGATGATGAATCTCCACTTGAAGCTCTAGTTTTGACAATAAGGGCGACATAGGAGGGCGATTTGCCTTTCTTCTTCCAAGTGTAATTCTACGGAAGACGATCTGCCTTTCTTCTTCCATAATTTCTTCGGTCCCACTTCTAATATGCCCACTACCACATTTAGTCCTTTAAGTTATACAAAGTTGCATTTTTCTCCCTTAATAGAAGCGGTAGTGGGCATAGTAGAAGTGAGACTAAGGAGATGATAATGAAGAAAGGCAAATCACCCTCCGATGCCACCTTAACCGTCAAAACCAAAACTTCAAGTGGAGACTTATCATCATAAGATGACCAATCAACCTCTGCAAAATTCTACTTGGGAAGATTTTTTGTCCACTTTAGCAAAAAATGGTCAACTACTACATTTAAGGTATTTGATGGATTGGTCATTATTGCATCTACTAAAGTAATATTATGGATATTTCTACCCCCTTTTTTTTTATTTTAAACTACTAGATGCTCTTAGTCGATGATTTTGTGAATATTTTTGCCTCCTTTTTAGTCCATATTAGCAAGTTAGAAAAGTCAAGATTGACACATGGCAATCACACTTAGCATTTAACACTAGCAATTAATAGAGTTTGAGCAAATTAATGATCTGATCACTCTCATACCAACTTAAATAACATTATCGGTATTTTTTTTCTTTTTTCACTTTAGGTTATTAAATACTCCTGACCAATAACTTCATGAGTATTTTTATCCTTTTGTCCTAAATCATGACATGATTTAGGTTAATGAAAGGTAAAATGCCACAAAAAAAAAATTACTTTACTAAAACTATACACTACGAATGGGAATGGCCCATTATTCTGAAAGCAACAATTACTAAAGAAAAGGTAACTAATTTCTTTTTGATTGTGCACATGTACCCCCTTATTGAAGGCAACGTGTTTGAGGTATAATTTGATACTAAATATGATGGGTGCCTTTTCTAATGAGGATTCAAACATTAATTTATCACGTTATGAGAAATTAGTCATTAATTTCTTTCTTTTTTAGAGCATTTGACCCCATTATATATATGTGCGCAAGTGCATGTTTGGGGAAAATGATATTTAATTGAGCACCATTAAGAATAATAATCATAATTAAGGATACTAAAATTACGAAATTTCATAAACAACAATGATTCTTAGTTGAAATTAATATTTTAATTAGTCATTCTTTATATTTTTAGTACGTATTCACTCTTGCATTTTCAAGGCTCATATTTTTCATTTTTCAATAGTTATTTTTGATATTCTCAATACTCATCATCCATGTTTTTATTACTGTATAACATTTATCTTTCAATCTTTATGCACTTATTTTTAATTTTTAGTATTGAAATTATGAAAAATGAGTATTGAAAATATCTATGGTGAAAAATATAAAAGATTGAGTATTGAAAATGTTAATGTTAACCATTGAAAACGTGGAAAAGTGGTACAAAGTATGAAAGATGGGTATTGAAAAATTTCAATAAGGAAAATTTTAATTTCAACTAAGTATCATAATCTTTTTCTTAAATTTCATGTTTTAGGGACGTCAAATGCAATCAATATTTTTAGAAGGTCCTTCTTTAGCAATATATTTAGAAGGTCTTTAAATATTGCTTTTCTAAATATACGTGCATCATCTCATCCTCTTGGTTGCCCATTTTTAGAAGGTCCCCATTCCCCTCCGGCCCCTGGACTCTTTGTCCTATTTGGCTTGTCGATGTTTTGACTTTTGAGTGTGACTGTATCCAGCCTGTCTCAATGGGACTCTTTTGTACCACGATTTCTGCTCATTATTAATTGATTCTGTAAATAATATTGTACTCCCTTCTCATTACAGTATGTCATGATCTTTAGGTAGTTTCTCCTCCCATGTTATGTATAAATTATTTATATCAATCTCCTCAATATTAATACAAAAAAATATATAAAATAAAAATATATAAAATTTTAAATATATTTATACATAATAAATAAAAAAATAATGTCGACATGTTATTTTTTTATAAAAGATAATTTT